CCTTTTATTAATTTTGTAGCCCGCCTCTGCACTTTTTCTAGTGCCATAATATCCTTCTTTAGAACAGGTGCCCAAAATTGCACAGCATATTCAATATGGGGTCTTACCAGTGATTTATAAAGAGGCAAAATTATATTCTTGTCCCGAGAATGAATGCCCTTTTTCATGCATGACAATACCTTACTGGCCTTGGCCACTGCTGATTGACATTGCACATTGTTGCATAGTTTGTTGTCTATAACAATTCCCAAGTCCTTTTCATGTGTTGTTATCCCTAATTCGCTTCCATTAAGGGTATACGTTGCTTGTGTATTCTTTACGCCGAAGTGCATAACTTTGCATTTTTCAACATTAAATTTCATCTGCCATTTGAGTGCCCAGTCCCCCAGTCTATCTAAATCCCTCTGCAGCAAAGTAATATCTTGCTCACATTGTATTATTTTACAAAGTTTTGTGTCATCTGCAAACACTGAAACATGACTTTCAATGCTGTCTTCAAGATCATTTAAAACATGTTAAATAGAAGGGGTCCCAGAACAGACCCCTGAGGGACACCACTTGCCACCTCTGTCCAGCTTGAAAATTTACCATTAATGACAACTCTTTGTACTCTGTTTTTAAGCCAATGTTCTACCCAAGAACAAGCATTTTCATCTAGACCGATTTCCTTGAGTTTGAACACTAATCTATTGTGTGGAACTGTATCAAATGCCTTGGCAAAATCCAAAAAGATCACATCCACGGCAACACCCTGATCTATACTTCTACTTACTTCTTCGTAGAACGCAATCAAGTTAGTTTGACATGACCTGTGCTTCATAAAACCATGCTGATTTTTGCTGATAACCATGTTCTTCTCAAGGAATTCTTGAATATTATCCCTTAATAACCTTTCAAATATTTTACCAGCCACAGAAGTTAAGCTCACAGGTCTATAATTTCCAGGCAAGGATTTTGAACCCTTTTTGAATATAGGAACCACATCTGCCTTCCTCCAATCCTCCGGAACACTTCCTGAAAGAAAAGAATCTTGAAAGATTAAAAACAGAGGTTCACTTATTTCTGCACTTAGTTCCTTAAGTACACGTGGATGGATACCGTCAGGCCCTGGAGCTTTGTTTATATTAACTTTCTTTAGTTGCTGCAGCACCTTGTCTTGAGTTAACCAATTACAATTATTCTGCAAGTTTTTAGTAGCAATCATTTGCACATCTTTTGCCATGGGTTCTTCCTTAATATATACGGAGGAGAAAAAGTTATTTAAAATTCCTGCCTTTTCCTGGTCTTCATTAATTAACACCCCCGTTTCAGTTTTTAGTGTACCTACACTTTCATTTTGTTTTTTTTTAGAATTTATGTACTTAAAAAATGCTTTGGGGTTGGTTTTGCTCTCTTCAGCTATCATTATTTCATTTTGAAGTTTAGCAAGTCTAATTGCCTTTTTGCACGCATTATTTGCATCCTTATATCTTTTATAAGATGCATCTGATTTGTCCGATTTAAATGCTTTAAATGCCCTTCTCTTAGTTGTAATCTCTTGTTTTACTTCTCTACTAAGCCACGTTGGTTTTAATTTGTTTCTTTTATATTTATTTCCCAATGGTACATACTGAGAAATGTACCTTTGTAATATTTGTTGGAAGATGATCCATTTATCCTCAGTGTTCTTTTCACTAAAGAGTTTATGCCAGTCAATATATTGTAAAGCTTCCCTTAACTTATTGAAATTGGCCTTTTTAAAATTATATGTTTTAGTATTCCCCATGTGCTTTTGTTTTTTTGAGTTTATTTCAAAGGACACTATATTGTGATCACTATTTCCCAAGTGCTCACCTACTTGAATGTTGGTCAAAAGATCAACGTTGTTTGTTAAAACCAGGTCCAGACAAGCATCCATTCTAGTTGGTGCTTGTACAAGTTGTGACATGAAGGTGTCATTTAACAAGTTTAAAAACCTAATTCCCTTTGCTGAGGCACTAGTCCCTCTGTCCCAATTTATATCCGGGTAATTAAAATCTCCAATAATTAAAGTGTTACCCAGATTTGCAGCTTTCTCAATTTGCTCAAACAGCTGTTGTTCCTCGTCAATATTAACATGTTATGCTTTTTTTCTATCCTCATGGTCTGCCATTTTTTGCTCTCATTGGACTATCTTCGAATCCACGGCAGATTTATGAGCTTCTATTATTTCCTCCATATCTCCTCTAAATGTGCTGTGCAACAACCTAAAGCTTGAATCTCAGCTTCAACTTCTGTGGAAGTGTGAGGTCAGCTTTAATTGAAGCCTGCATTTTAGTCAGCATGTTCCTCACTGAGAGATCTGTGGCAGGGATTGTGTCTGGGTAGGAGATTCAAGTGTCATTGCTCCCTGCTGATAAAGATGGGCGCCATCTCGAATCGCCTTTGCTGACAAGGTGAGAGCCGTGACTTGTAAGAAGGTAGTTGCTCCCTTATCCTTTTATGACGAGCGGTTTTTCATGCTCTGTGGAGTGGAGATATCCCCCAGTGAGGAATTTCAGTGTTTCGCTGTGATGCTTTTTCATACTTGTTTGATACTTGTAGTGAGAACACTGTGTGTCTTCCTAGTACATATGCATTGCCATCGGCGTTCAGGCCATGTCTCCCACATTATTTGTGGGATATTTCGTAGCACAGACTGTAAAATAATGTTCCACCTCATTCATACCTCAAAAACCTTAAGGTCCTTCTTTTAAAAGATTAAAGTGGTATCACACTTCATGCAGTATTCAGCTCCACTACAAGAAGGATCCACTGTGTCCACTGCTCTGGAGGCAAAGATCAGCCCTACACTTTCTTATGTGCTTGATAGTATTTTTTTTAGTAGGCTTGTTATTTTTCTCCCCCTATATCACACTGTTCATAGCTGACATTATGTTGCTCTATCAATCACTTGATACTCTTGATAATGAAGGTTTTGCAAGGTTCCATCTTAGATCCTGGCAGATATTTGAATGACCCACATTCTTAGTTCATCATCCAGTTCAATATGTTACTATGCTTACATTGCTGAACTCACAATGAAACTTGCTTGTGCTTTGTAGAGGCAAGGTCTGTTTGGATGAGTAGTTAGTGTCAATCTCATCAATCCAGAAGTGAATAATGAGGCTTATACACACTCTTTGCTCTTGAAAGGTTTTATTGCAAAATAGATCAGGTTTCAATTTAAATGGGAATGCTTACTAAGCTCTCACAATGGGTATTAGACCCATAATCCAACCTTTGCACCATGCCCAAAGTCAAAAGCAAATTACCCACTGAATGTCATGGAATCAGCAACTCAAAAGATTAAATAGACAGACAGATCATAATTAACAAATAATCAGGTGTACATCCATGGAAAGAGACAGACAGGTATAAACAGGAATAGATTGCAATTATTTATGTAGCGCCAACATATTCCAATGCTGTACAATAGAAAAATCTAGACCAAAATCTAATTATGAAAAAACACGTTTGACATATAAGAACAGTAGATGAAGAGGAACCAGCCCAAACAAACTTACAATCTGAAAGGATGAGGGACAAATACAAAGAGGGAGATGAATGGATCAAATGGTTTGGATATTTCCTGTTAGGATTACTGTATGATCCAGCACGTAGAATTGTATAACACAGAGGACTGATAGGTAACGTACACCGGACCTTAGAATGGCCGGACTAGCGTACCAAAGAATAGTCAGGAATAGCCGAGGTCAAGGGATACAGAAAGAGACACAACGATAAGGAAAAGCCAGAAGTCAGGGATGCCAGAAAACAGGGAAGTCAAAAACAATGCCAAAGTCAGAATAACCAGAATAACCAGAATCAATAACGTGCTCTCGGACAACAACTTGGGAAACCACGACAGGGCACTGAGCAAGAGGAGAACTGGGCCTAAATACCCTTCCTCTGGATCTGATAGGCTGTAACCAGCCTTTGACCCCAAAGGCAGTTACCAGGTTGCCATTTGCATGATTGCTGCTCAGCACAAACCCTCCTGTAGATTGATTGCTGCTGGGCACAACTTTTCCTGTCAGGACAGTAATGTTGCTCGGCACAACTATTCCTGTCAGGACAGTAAATGCCATTAACCACATTTTTATGTGCGGATGAATACGTGACATATCCGAGGTTAGGTTATTGGGAGGAAGGGTTACAGTAGATGGGAGACAGCAGAGGAAGGTTGTAAGGGGGTGAGGAGTTAAGGGGCAGGCTGCTTATTAGAGATTTTGTCTAATTAAGGACTGCAGAGACAGGGGAGGGTAAGATGTCCCGTGGGTGGGTATTCTGTAAAGAGGGAGCAAGCCTGGAAAAGTCCGGCAGACGAGAGTCTGAGGTGCAGGTGCGAAAACGGGATAGTAACACATAGGTGGAGTGAAGAGGCTATGTTGCATGCTAATAGGAGAGGAGAAATAAGCCGGGCACAGTTTTGTAAAACATTGAAGGTCAGGAAGGTACGGGAGAGAACTGGATGACAGTGTAGAGAGAGGGATGAGGTTTGAGAGTTACAGAATGTAAGGTCTGGCAGAGGCAGTCATAACGGAATGAAGAGGGACGATCTGAGCTTTTTCCACGCTAATAAGCAGAGGGTTACAATAATCAGAGATACAGGAAGAGCGTGGACAAGCAAGTTTGTTACGTTCTGAGTGAGAAAGTGGTGAACAAAAGAAATGTTTTTAAGGTACAAAAAGACAGGATTTGGTGATAGATTTTATATAAGGTGTGAAGGAAATGTCACAGTCAAAGAGCACACCAAGACAATACACCTGCAGGAAAGAGATTATAATAGCTCTGTTGAACTGAAGGGACAAACATAGGCTTAAAGGCAGAAACAAAAAGGAAATTGGTGTTGGAGAAGTTGGGTTTTAGGGATCGTGAAGCCATTCAGTCAGAAACTGGTGATAGGCAGATAGTGACACGGCACTAGTGGTGTATTTTGGGTTTGTGCTGCCCTAGGCACAACTAAATTCGGGCACCCCCAAATCTAAATTTGCCCTACCAATTCGTGTGAAGGCCACTTTTTTGACTGATAGACACAGGCCCTCATTGACACATGCACTGACATACACTCAATTGCAGATACACAGTCATTGGCACACACATACAGTCATTGGCACACACACTGTTTAATCAACACACACTTTCACTGACAGACACACACTAACACACCCACTCACTGACAGACACACAATCTCAGATACACATAAAATGACAGACACACACTGACACACACTCACAGACATAGCCAACCTCACTGATTTGATACACTCTGACAGACACACACGTTCACTCACTCACAGTCACACACTGACAGCTACACTCACTCACAGACTCACAGAGCGTGAGAGAGCAAGAAGAGCAGAGGACAGCGCTTCCTTGCCGTCTGGCTAGAATATTAGTAGTTTAACACCTCAGGGGGCCCTAAGAAGGACAGCCCCAGGACATGAGGCAAACAAGGCATTTGTTTGGGAGCTTGGGGTTGCGTTTTTTGGTGCCCCCCTGAAAGTGCTGTCCAGGGATGTTTGCCTTGTGGTAAAAACATCCCTGCATGGCACAGCAGACTGGGAGAAAGATTAGATGGGAAGAGGTAGATCCAGGTATCATCAGTGTACAGGTGATATTGAGAGCCATAGGTAAAGCATCTGGGTAAAGAGGAAAAAGCCGAGTAAAATTAAATGGCCTTCATGTTGCAGGAATAGATAGTTTGGGTCTAAGGAAGAGAGATAAGACAGTTACTTTACTTTAACCCCTTATGGACACATGACATGTGTAACATGTCATGATTCCCTTTTATTCCAGAAGTTTGGTCCTCAAGGGGTTAAAGGAATTTACAACTGAGCGGGGCAAGCGAGGGCAGGAGGAATGGAGCAGGCCAGCCATTTGTAATAAACAATTAAATATTTGGTAACCAAAATTCTATCAGCCAGATTATTAATAACTACATGTAACAGTAAGTACAAAAAATGACAGTAGTAAACTATATGTAACAGTGGTACCATCATTATAATAAAATAATAATCTAGTAAAAAAATGAAAGAAGTCCAGTTGAATATCTTCTTCATCTGTTTGTACCTTTTACTGAAGCGCAGACATTCATTTTACATTCTGCTGCTATTTATTTATTAGTAAGTTGTACTGCTAGTAGTAGTGCCTTCAGTGTGCTTGCAGATACCTATAATCAAGCTATTTGACCATTTAAAAAAAAATCTATTATGTCACATCTAGTTTATGTGAGTAAAAAATGAATTTTTGCTTTTATACAAACATTTTAGACCCTGTGTCACATAATGCAAGATAAAAGGACACGGTATTCTGTCTAAAGCTTTTAATTTTCCGAATATTTTTTATAAAGGATCAACGAATAAGTGACAAATACAAGTTTTGTTAATTTACATTTTTGAGTTTGTTTGCAATGCAAATCTAAACACAAAATTGATGTGTGATGATTTATATGCTATCTTTGCATCTAAATAATGGTGTGCTAATGTTTTTTCAATCAAAAAGTGTTTGGCAGTGAAGGGTTTAAGAACACATGCCCAGGAGTATAACTTCTAGTCTGCCCTGCATATATACGTTGTTTTAAGATTAAAGGAACCCCATCAATAATCCTAAGAACCAGAACCGAACAATTTATTTTACTCCTATGGCTTCACTGATCAATTCTTTTAAATGTTTATGTTTAGATATAATAACTATAAAAACCAGAAAGGAACATAAGATTTTCTGACAACATTGGAAAGGGATTAGAATCGACCATTTTGGTTTTTAAAACTCGTAACTTTACATTTTTTACAAGTCATCAATTGATTTAATTCCCAGCAGCTCGTAAACCAATACAGTCTGCCTTTAAGATGCATTACTATGTTGTTGCAGTCTTTATTTGTTGCAGAATTTTTTTTCTCTTTGACTTGCTAGAGATACCTGTGATAAAGATCTGTTTCCTGTACTCTGCTTCTGTTATCCACAGCTCTCAGTATTTTGATATCCCAGTGGAATCAATACGTTTTTTCTAAATTGACAGACGTAGTGGGGGTTGGATGACTCCCTAATGATTACGATAGTTCCATTTTATGCAATATAGGTTAAAAAATTCCATTTGTGATGTTGCTTCTGGGGAAGTGTAATTATCTCTTGGGACTGATCTGGTGCAGTTGTATTTGGCTCACTTGGTAAAATGGAATGTTTACACTCCAGTACGACAGTTGCAGCCGAAATGGCAATTTGTCCAAATTTAGGCTGATTGGCGGTTCGGCCACGATCTTTGTCTCGGAAGCCCCGTACGGACATATAACCAGGGAAATGGACGAGCATGTTCATTTGCTTCAGGATTCGGAGTTCTGTCCATGGTGCCAAAAAAGAGATGATTGATGATTAGGGGGCAGCCTCTAAATGTTGACTTTGCTTTCAGATCAAGGGAAAAGTGATAAATAGGGGGGAGAAAAAGGAATAGCAGTAAAAATAATTTAATAATCATAAATACAGATGTTTTACTGCTCCTTCTCTTTTTCCATCTTTTGGCTACTTTTTATCACTTCATCTGTGAACCAAATGGGAAAATGCCCAGTCAATAGCCTTTTATTACAGAGAACAGCCACTGGCTGCTCGTTGTTTAGTGGGCATGACCCCACTCATGGAGACTAGGAGCATGGGGGAAATGTTAAACCTCCCTTGTACTAATGGGAATGTCATACTGACCGCACAGGCTTTTTAAAAAATATTTGCCTGCTAACTGCTAGAAGTCCCAATGGCAAATAGTAAAAAAGAATTTGTCAACAGATTTTTTTATGTGATATTTTTGTTAAAAAATTATATTTATTAAAAGCAATATTTATCAGCTTCCACTAAGCCTTTCACTGCAGGAATTGAATAGATCTGTACCAATAAAAAGTTTATCAGGAGTTAATAAATGTGTAATAAACATTGATAAATCTGCAAGGTACGCTAAACCAGGCTTCCCCAAACTCGGGCCCTACAGATGTTGCTGAACTACAACTCCCGTGATTCTCAGCCTATCAATTTCATTCATAGAATCATGGAAGTTGTAGTTCAGCAACATCTGGAGGGCCGGAATTCACTTACCACGAGGACCACCAGGGATGGCTGGCAGCAGCACGACTCCCCCCCCCCTTCCAGGCTACAGGTAAGAATAGAGGGGGCGGGGGGGATATAATGTATTTATTATTATGTATTTATTTTTATTATTATGTATTTATTTTTATTATTTATTATTAGTATTTATTATTATGTATTTATTATTATTATTTATTATTATGTATTTATTATTATTTTTTAGTAAAACATTAATAGTGCCATTTACCTGCCTCCCCCAATACAAAATCCTTGCAAACACACACATCACCCTCACCCAGCACCCTAACACATACACAGCACCCTAACACACACACACAGCACCCTAACACCAGCACCCTAACATTGACACAGCACCCTAACACACACACAGCACCCTAACACCAGCACCCTAACATTGACACAGCACCCTAACATTGACACAGCACCCTAACACATACAGCAACCTAGCACACACACACACACATCACCCCAACACATACACAGCAACCCAACACACACACAGCACCCCAACACACACAGCACCCCAACACACATCACCCTCACACACACACACATCACCCTCAAATACACAGCACCCTCAAATACACAGAACCCTCGCACAGTGCCCTCACACACAGCGCCCTCACACGCAGCACCCTCACACACACATACTGCACCCCCCCACACACATACTGCACCCCCCCCCACACACAGCACCCTCCCACACACACTATACTCCTCACAAATGCACACTACACCCCTCACACACACAGCACCACCCAAACACACTGCACCAGTCACACACTCACTAGATCTCCTATACGCACTCCTGAGTCCTTTAAACACACACTAGATCCACTTACACACACACTACATTTCTGACATACACACTCAGGATCCCCTATGAACACACTAGATACCCTTTAAGCAAACACATAGTGTCTCCATAAATGGGATACAGTGAGTATTCCATTTATGGAAACCCCTGAGACAAGTTTCAAGCAAACACAATGCAAGCATGTTATTAAATTTGCTTGCGCTGTGCAGATCAAATACAGGGCCCTTTTCTCATGCCCTGGAAGAGCATTGAACCAACATGCTCACTTTGAGATGGGGTGTGCTTGTCATTGGGGATGACAAAACACACCCTATCTGGCCCCGCCACCTTTTCAGTGGGCCGCTGTAATTAAAAATGCCCGGGCCGAATTTTTTCTCCAGTCCGGCCCTGGAGCCATCAAACATATCCCCACCCTGGGTGGTAAGATGGGGTCAATTCCCCTGGCCCATTAGATGTGCCAAACATTTCCTAAATATAGTAACAGGGACTCCCCTAACTTTGCAGGTGTGCACCCCCCGGGGAGTTATGGTGCCAGGCAGTTGCCCAGTCTCACTGGCATATTTGTGACTTAAATCCCACCCCAATTCAGTCCTAGTGTGACACCCAGTCCCCCCCCCCAGCACAATAATAACACAAACCAACCCCAGAGGCAGTTTCAATGTGATTCCCAGTCCCCTGTGCATTAGTGTCCATAAATATCAAATAATCCTACCTTTCATTCCTCTAATAAGAAAAATGGTCAATTGAATTGGGAAGGAAAATAGTTGACAAGTGACATCGGCAACAATCAGCAAGGGCAATCCCCAAGGGTGCAGAAAAGGTCGGCTTTGTATATGGATATAAAAAAAATAAATCTTTTCACTCTTATTTGAAAACTATTTAATTGATTTAGATGTTTCCCAATTTTAAAGATAAGCCTGATGCAGAGAAAAGCAACAATAAAACAGATAGAAAATAAAATCATTGCAACACCCTCACTAATTCCAATAGGTATCAACGATGTCGCAATGCACATTACCTATCTTATAAAGCCAAGTTGATTCTTTTGCGATGACAAACATTTTACTTTTTTTAATACACATCTTATTTTAAAACCCACATTACATACACATGAATTTCATCACTTGAATGAATAAACCAAAAACAAACAAACAAGCTTTAACTTTCCTTTTTTATCCATTAGGTCAAGCTGCTAGTGGTAAATTTCACTTTGAGGTCTCCACGTCCAGAATGTTTTCTCGGCAACTTTTTATTGTACACATTATAGCCTTTGCTGTGATACTCTCCACCTTCTGTTCCTGTTGCCTAACTTTTACTGTAGGTAAATAAGATGTCAGTGTCTATCTCGCACAAACATTAAAAGGATGCTTTTTGCGAGGCCCTGTTAATTGGAGAACAGTTCAGAAGTAAGAGCTGTGCATTTGGGGTGATTATTTGAAGCAGATG